ACAAAATTTCACCTGTCTACACCTAAGGTAGCTCCAAGTCTCACATGGGAATGTATATAGATAGCAGGAAAACAACATATTCAGATGCAAGTGTATTTCTCAAGAATTTTTCTCATGTAAATTCGTGGTAAATTATTTGGGACCCCGTCCCTCTGCAGCAAGCCCCCGACCCCCGTCTGTAAGTATGTAAAAGAATAAGCGAAAGTCATTGTACGTGTCAACTCTTTTTGTTGTACAGGAGATGATGAATTAAAAAAAGACCCAACTCCTTCATTATAGATGGCGTGATGATGATGATGATGATGATGATATGAGATGCAAAAAAAGTATACTGATAATACTTGAACCAAGTCAAGATGGGTTGAATTACAAGTTTAAGTAAGGACGCGCTTGGCCGCAGCCTATACTATCCTGCCAGCAGCGAAACAGCCAAGGCGATTGGAGAAATTGTAGATGAAGAGTAAGTCGTAATTAGTTCTTGGCGGAGCCGTTCTTGGCAGAGCCGTTGGTGCCGTTCTGGACAGCGTGACCATTGGTCTTGGGCTTTGCTTCCGTCGTCTCATCCTCATCCTCATCCTCGTCATCGGAGCGATCGTCCTCTGCGACATTGTGGGCAACCATGCGATAGGCGATGCGGACAATGTAGAAGAGCCAGAACAAGTTGAGAGCTTGCAGGCAGATGAGCAAGGTGGAGGTGATGACCTGGCCGAGGAGACACTTGTACTGTCCACCTTCCCAGTCAAGCAAGAAGGGACCAACGGTGCGGTACTCGGTGAACAGAGACCAGATAATCTTGAGGTTGATGAAGTGTCGCAGGTAGATCCAGGCGCCCATGAAGATGGTGAAGAAGGGGATGAGGATGGGTGAGTCTAAATAATTGAGAGTCTTGGCGGTAGCAAGGAACCAGTCACTAATATCGTGGGTGATGTAGACGGCAATGCCGATGTAGGTGAAGTGGAAGCGGTAGCTCAGCCCAATGAGCGTCAGGGTGGTGATATGGTGACCGACCAGCTCCTTGTAGTCCTTGCGGGGCTTCTCCATGCCGAGGACGAGAACAATGGCCTGCTGTGCCCAGTAGGCGGCCTGGAAGAGGTAGTAAAACTTGAATTGGGCATCGTGGGTCTTGTGAGGATAGGTCTCGTACATGCCGCGGGTGTTGAAGTACCAGACTGGCGTGAAGCTCATGACATACATGCCAAAAGGGCCGAGGAAGCTGAAGTAGACAGCCGTGTAGACCTGCTCCATGAAACGGGCGATCTTGTTCTTGCCGAGGCCAGCACGGCGACCCAGTGGACGGATGATCTCCTGCATGACGAACTCGCGAGTAAACGACAGGACCACGGTGTAAAAGGCGACAAAGGCAAGGTCCCAGAGACCCTTTCCGTAGTGTTTACGCCCATGCTCGTCGTTGAAGGACTCGGGGAGCTCGTAGGACAGGAAGATGAAGCGGTGGACGGGGTTGGAGGGCGTGGGGTTGACAGAGTAAACGAGGCCGAAGAGGGCGATGATGGTCAAGGGGAGGACGAAGGTGTGCTTGACCATGGTATGGCGGATACGGGAGACGAGGCCGAGTTTTCGGCGGCGAGACACGCGCTTGCCATCCTTGGTGGTGACTACAGTTGCGAACGATGGAGAAGCAGGCGTGCCACTGGCATCGACGGCTTTGAGACTCAACCGACTGGTAGCCAAGGCAGGGGCGGTGTCACCAGCACGGATGTCACCGCCTAGTGCACTGCTTCTTCTCGGGTGCCTTCGGTAGGGTTTGGGAGGGTGAGAGATGCCATTGCTGTGCAGCTGATCGGCAGATGTGTTGAGAAGAGGGAACGGTTCTGACATGGTCGATTGATCGTGCTCCGGCGTCGAAGCGTGTGTTAAGGAGGCGGACGTTGGGATGCGATGAAGAGGGCAATTTCCCGGGCACCGTCAGCTGGGCGCTCGTTATCGGCGTGCCTTGGGGAGGAGGAGTTGTAGGATCCTCCACTGTGAACAACGGGGAGTCGTGCGGGTTCAACTGCGTGTCGTCGCGCGTCGTTCTAGGTGAGTTCGGAGCCGTTGTTGGGTGAGAGAGAAAATCCAACAGTAATCAGATTATTTTTTCTCTCCTAGTTCTCTCGTGGCCGTCTGGGGATTTGCGACCACCAGGGGGGGAGGGGGGTTGGTGGGTTCTTCTAGGGTGAAACAGCCCAACACCGCTGGCAAATTAAACGCAGGAAATAAAAGAAGCTTGAAGAATCGACCAAGGAGCGGCGGTATGGGGGACGCGTATTATATGTAGTACGGCGATGAGGAAGCAAGTTTCAAATGCAAAGTGAGGGTGATTGATCGGTGATCTTTGTCGTCGCGGCCGCGAGATGCAGTCCGGTTTGCTCGGTTCGCAGACGAGGCGGGCTCTCTTGGTTCGCTCACTCGATCACAATTGCGAATGGGATGGGATGGGATGGGATCCGTTTCGGCAGGGGCGGGAAGAAGCGTGGCGACGTCACGGGGGACAAGAAAATGGCCTGCCCAAGCGGTAGACTTTGTCCAATCCCGAGCCAGATTAGATCAGAGCAAGCCGACGAGACGGCTGAGAGCTAGACCCTGTTTCTAGCGCCGTTGTTTTTTGGGTGGTAATTAACAACCCTGTCGCGGTAAGCTAGATCCAGGAGCAGGATGACCACACTTGCCAACAGCCAGGGCGAAAGGGGGGGGGGCACAGATTGAGCGACGGGTGACAGGCAGGTGATTGGAATCGCCGGATCAACACATGTGATGTGATGTGATGTCGTTCTGGCTTCTTTTCCTCTTTGTTGCGCCAGATCCCTCGAGTGATATGGTATGATGTGACGAGCGATTAGAGATTGCAAGTATATCCCGAAAAGCGGGTCGCTCTTTCTCAGGTTTGACGCTTCGTCAAACACAAACGCCTCTGGCTTCGCGGGCAGGAGCGGGACAAGTTGAGGAGGGAAGGAGCGGGCGGCAGTTGAACTCTGAGGGGAAAGATGCTCTATTGTCTATTCTCGTTCTTCCCTCGGCACACAAGGCTTCTTATATCTCTGTTCTCTCTTTTTCCATCTTTCCATTTTTTATTATTGTTTCTTCAAATATCTCCAAACCATCCATCTTAGGGGGTAGGGTGGAGGCACGGAGTCCGCTCTGCCTAGCTGATTAAACCTACCTGGGGAGGCGTGGAAAGGCAAAAAAAGATCCGTCGCATACCTTCTCTAACGTTGTGAGCAAACCCCCCGAGCCGAGTTTTTGCACTGAGCGCTGGAACCAACCCGAAACGCACCGCGCGAGTCCGAGAGTCTGCTCAGTTTGTCGGAAAAGCCAGAGGGGAACGAGGTCGAGCGTCGGATACATAGGCGGCTATCCGAAAGGAGGCTTTTGCTTGGTTAATTTCTCTAGTTTCATCCAATACGCAAGTCCAAATTGGCCGTAATCTGCCAAGGACCCAATGACCGGTACCTCGCGCTAGCACGACCTGCTTTAGTAAACGCAGGTACCTATTTCTCTCTCGGGCAGGTCAGACGTGCCTCTGTTTTTACCTTTTCCTGCTGACAGCACGGTTTGCCCCCATAACTCCACCCGGCCAGGTCCAATCGCTTTGCCTCGTTCGCGGGACCTTCATGTAGGTCACACCAAAAACCTCCCCATGCTAACGAATCCCCACTGTCATGGTGGTACTATTATGCCCGAATGTGCATGAGACTGCGTCGTGCGACTTCCTGCCGAGATGACGGTTCACCCAATCAGCTGCTAGACTTTCTGATCTTGGAGGGCTCGCTAGGCTTAGCTGTTCGCTCCCTGCCACAGTCCCGTCATTCCTGTTCCTGAAGGTCATCAGAATCTCTATTCATAGCCAAGGCATGGACGCAAGCCAGGCGCTTGCTCGTCGGGCAATCTGACGTGCCCCGTCCCCGGCAGCATGCCGTCAAATCCTGACGGAAGAGTATATTCCTCCATTGGGACCCCAGATCCACGCAACTACCAATGCAATTCGCTAGCCAAAAGGAAACCGCTGGTCTTCCCTCCGGTCCAGCGTCTTTAATTAGCAGGCACTGCGCTTTCCCCACGCGCCAGATGTGCCCAGCAAGTGTCTGGCTACTGTTGGCAAGTCAATTGGAAACCCCTGCGTCGGAAACTTAGGTTCTCTATTCGTCGGAGGCTTTTGCCGGCCGGTATGCCCTAGTACACACATTGGCACATAAGCCAGGAACCGCTAGTATGTCGGGGCCACCATCTATCTTACCCAGGGAATTAGAACTTCCCACCAACCCCACCATTTGATGTCATTAGAGGCCAGCATTGATATTAGCATGTCTTGTTCGAACCAGGCGACCTTTGAGGCAAGAGACTGCGTGGGATTAGGTAAGACCTCGGCATTCACGGAAATATTAAACAAGGGTTTGCTGTGAGACAGGCTGGCCGGACTCACACCACAGGTCGGGTGCTGTGACGGTGAGACAGAACGGCTGCGCGGGTTCACTTTGGAATAGTCGTGCGGAAATGCCACACAAATTTTGTATGTATTCGTTGAGCCTCTGTCTGGACTCTGCTCCTCCCGGGGAAATAAACGCCAAGAATGCTAAAACATGTCTTTGAACCACGATTATCATGCCCGCCGGTCCCAATATAGCCAGTCCCCGTTATACACTATGATACAAACATTTGACAACCAACCAACTTCTCTGTCTCCCTCTTTTTTCCCCATGCGGACCCAATACCATAACACCGAGCTGTAAGAAGTTGGAATTGCCAGTACATATATCGTGTATCGTGTGTGTATAGAAGGGGGGGTATCAGAATGCCCAAACCGTCCCTGGCTCTCGCAGACCTGGATGAGGAAAAATCATCGCAAATGCGTAAAAATAAAAACAATCAGCTCCCAGCCTCAGCGCCGACGCTACCCATGAAACATCCGGAATGCATTGAAGAAAACAAAACAAAAAACGATGTGAAATGGCGCCCAAACATGCAATATTCCCGTTTTCCCAAATCAGGTTTGATGGTTGTTTTTCTCATGTTGTTCGTGTTGGACCCGATCCGTCTTCAAACTCGCGACGCTGGTGATCAACCGAGGATGTATCCGTCATTGAATCATCGTACGAGTACTGGTCGTCGTCGTACCCGGCCCGGGCTTGTACGCCAGGCCACAGCGGCGGGTTGTTTGACGGTAGAGAGTCGTGGCCCCGAGAGGTCATGGACATGACGCTTTGCCGCCGACCCAACTGAGACATATCCCCAGAGGTGCTTGCGTTGCTTGCTCGGTGTCCGTTGCTCGAGAAGGCAGCCTCTCTGTTGTTATTCGTGCCCTCCTCCTCGAGGACTTGCTGTAAAGCGGCTCCCCTCCGAGCCGGAGCAGGAATGACTCTCACTGGAAGATTTGCTGTGTCTGTGGTAGGACGAATGCGATCTCGGATTTTCTCGGCTTGGTTGGCCGCAAAGTCTTCGAATCGCGCACGCAGATCCCATCGTCTTACAGCGTCCAGTGCTCCCGAGGGCCTGTACGCCTCCGGTTCTTGTGCGATTCCATGGTCTCCTGTGGACGAGTCTTCCCTAGCCTGGCTACGGTCTGGTATGGTACCCGGAGTTGCTGTTCGAGGCCCGGAGGGATTCACTATCCCGCCATTGGTGGCAGATTCAAGATCCGAAGGCCTATGCGACATGGATGATGACCTAGGCTCGTTATGGGAGACTGCGCCAGATGTCAAGTTCGGTATGGCCGCTTCCTCACTGGTGTGGTTACTTAATGGGAAGCTGGGCTGCCTCGACAAATCCACCATGCTCTGTTGCGCCGCCAGGGGCTCTGGAGTTCTGGTTGTCGCCTCGGAAGCTGGTTGGTAACGGATTGCGTACACCGTGCTGGCTGCGCTGGCGGTATCAGTTCTGCTGACGGGCGTTGCAGTCGGCACGGGTCGAGCTGGCCAGAGCGGCGGACGTATGATGCCTCCCATCACTTGCATCTGGTGACCCTCCGGATCATTTCCAGAATGTCCCTGCCCGCGGTAACGATTGGCGATGGCAGCGACATTCTGCCAGCCACCCGGGGAAAAGCCTGGGGGTCCAGAGTCCCCAGTCCCACCTGCCTCGTTTCCGTTCCCAGGCCCGCCTCTATGGTTCTTGAATTGCCGAAGCCATGACGACTCCTCTGTGGCAGTGACCTCCAGAGTGTCGTCCCCATCAAAGACTTCCCTCCCGAGAACCCCGTCCTTCTTTTCCTCACGTTCTAGCGCTTCTATTCGTTCGACCCATTCCCACACAACCACACTGGCCGCCGCCGCACCAACCCACCGGACATAATCCCCCCATGCTGCAAATGTAGGTTTTGAAATATCCAGTATGAAGAAGACGACGGGAATAAGTACCGAAATAATAGACATAAAGGCCACCAGACACATGTTCTTCATAAGAGGATGATAGAAGGCGTACCGCTTCTTCATTATTGCATAGTATATCACCCAGGCAGCGTACAAGATCCCTAGTGTCAGTTGAAACAAATAGCTGAGCGCGGGCACTGGGTGGATAAAGCTGTTGGGCCGGCTCGTGCCCGTCACGCCGTCAGCCGAGTAGCGGAAGCTGTTCAGGGCAGTAAAGATGACGTCCAATGTGATGAGGGCGAACGCCACCCATTTGATGATGTTCTTCTCCCGCTGACGGGGAAAGATGCGGATCAAAGTCTGAGCCTGGGCCAGCCACAGGAACGTATCGGATATCAGCCGGATTACTTTGAGCGCGAGGCTTCCCATGACTTCAATCTGCATCAGTTTTGCGTTCTGAATCCCCCATTTGTACTGTTGCTGAGCAACATTAAACGTAAGCGTGCTTGCCACCGTCAGAGAGATTGCGACCGTCAGGGTCGCTACTTTTTGTAACCACGGGCGCCTTCCAATATTAACATTGCTCGAAGTGTTATGCGCAAACCCCCGCCTGCCAAGATACACAATCCCCCCGTCTAGAAAGGACTGAGGGGTGATGAACAGCATGACGACCAGCATGTAGGCTGTGATGGTGGTGGCCGCCAGGGCATAGCACATGGGGAACTGTGTCGCATAGAACGGATCGCGAAAGTCGGAGACCTGGTGATTCTGCGACTCCGCGGCAGACGACAGGGCCGAATCGTCGGTGTTGCTTCCAAGCTCGGGAGTATCTCGCGGCGCAAAGTCGATCGTCGGGCACGGGACGTGGACAATGGCATCGTGGGTGAGGGTAATGGGCTCGAGCCCCCCGCCGAGGTGAAGGATAGCACTTGCCGGCAAGAAAGTCGATGCGCAGAGGGTCGGCAGCGCTGCCGACCCCCCAACCAAGCTCATGGTTATGACAAGACAGGTGGTTGTCGGATAGACACGGCCGGTTTGCCGCCCAAGTTGAGGACAGCCACCTTGATCGAGGCGGCTGAGGCGGTATGTACGGATAGCACGTGTGCTAGGGAAACGGTGCCATGGAAGCTAATTCTGTCGATTCGTGGTTGCGATCCTGAGGACTTTTGAAAGAATACGCGCGTTCTGTTACTTGCGTGTCGCGCCAAGACTGAGCGTAGGGACCAGGTGCAAGCCTTACGCTGCATGCGAAGGCTGGAGTCGCATTTGACGTCGGATAAATTGCCTGGATACGGAGCCGAGAAAAGATTAAAGGAGACAGCCAGAGAAAGAAAGTGCCAATAAACCCAGAGGAATATGAATTGCGAGCGAGAGAGTAGGCAATTGGCGTAATGCGAGATTCGTGGGGAGAGATAATTAGGGGGGTCTGGATAGACACGGTTGGGCGTCTAAGCCACACACACCACTTACTTGCTCTTTCTGGCCCGGAGGTGCTTTGAGTCCGAATGTTTGGGGGGCACCAACACCGTGAGAGAAATTCGCATGCACCAGTTCTGCTTGTCCAAACGAGAGTAGGTAGGTGAAAATAACCTTTTTGCGTTGCTGGGCTTTTGCAAATTGAACAAGGATGGGAGCGGCGGGAGAGAGCGAGGAAGGAACGGAGAGGCATTGGAAGTACGTAGGTATCTGCAGCAGAGAGGGGTTCATCTCTGCTTCCAGCTCTGCCAACCCTTGTTCTGCTGGATTCTGAAGCACCCGAGTCCGACAAGGATGTACGGTGCGTGCATGCCTCTCTCGCACGGTCCTACCCACCCACTGGAATACTTAATTGCCACCTACAGAGAGCGGCTCCTTCCGTCGACACAGAAAAGTCACTTGCCTCCATCCCATGATCTTCGTGAATGCAGCTTATCCAGTGTCTGAGAACTCAGCACAGCTTTCAGGTCTCACTATTCGGCTGATAGATCCAAGAAAAGCAAATTGTCTCCCCTCTGCGGAGGCAAAGTCACACCACCACATAAAGCAGAAATATTCGAGTGTCTGGCATGGGGCGGCCGCATGACTCGCTATGCTTAGTGGCTAGCGCCGGACAGAACACAGTGCGCCACACCCGATGGCGTAGAGGCTCCCCACCACCTGCCAATCCAGTAGTAGAAACCGCCCAGCTAAACCACTAGTGAGGCCCCCCCCAATTGCCTGATTCCCCATTCTGTAAACAGGCCCTTAATAAAGTATGCGCGATCCAAGATAAGCTCGCCGTATGCTGACAAACAAACCAAACCTCCATCAAGAGGAATCTGTGAAAGATCCAAACGGGTGTAAATTCCTTGCAGGGGGTTCGGTATGCTGTTGGGCGCGCGTCGAGACGGGGGCCAGGTATCGAATCCCTGGGCTGAGCTAAAAGGCCTTTTTGATCCTCTCTGCTCACTCGCTTGCGGCTCGGCAATCACCCAGCAGCCGTCCTCTCTGGGGCAAAACCCATGGGGGGGAGGGTTGAAGACCGGAAACCATGGACGCGCGCCATGTTGGTTCAGCAAGTCTGTATTCCTACGCCTCTTCTTGGCATCCCATCCTTTACGCCCTGTGCTTTTCGATCGCGTTCCCCAAGGCCAAGAATCAATCATGCATGCACGTCGTTGAGACTTCGGAAGCATCTTGCCGCCCTTCTCGACGTCTTGGCAAAGCTTGTATCAACCCGCCGAGGTCTTGGCACTCATCATTGGCTTTCTTAGGTTCCAGCCCACGGCAGATGACACCTCAATGTCACACAGGCCATTAAAAAAAGAGGGACAACGAATTGTGAGGCAGGAATTGTAAAAGTTTTGTCGCTGTATTGATACTATCTGACCGCCAGCTTATGCCGGCGAACCTCCTCAGAGTCCCCTGTTCTTTTGTCTCTAGCGAATTAAATGGCCAGCCCCAATGTAGGAGTCGTGCCTCTTGGGTATTTTTATCCCCTGTTACAAAAAGATTATTTCATATGTATCATGTCCTTTCTTCCTCTGCGTCCTCCTCATGCAATGCTGGAAGATGATGTAAAAAAAGCAAATGCGAAAACCAAACTTGCGGTGAGAGGTGAGACAAGTACAAACGCAGGTGTAGGAAGCATATAATAGAAAAAGAAAAAAGAAAAGGCCGAGTTATCGCTTAGGAAAGGAAAAAAAAAAGTAAATGACCACTTTTGTTTGTTTGGCTTGCTTGCTGCTGATCTCCAATCCACGTGTGGAGTGAGAAGAGTGAAAGCCAGCTGGTGTCGCTATCATATCTCATATGTGCTCCCTCATTCGCCGGAGCTGTGGCCGAACGCGCGGTACTGCATCTCGAGCACCCAGTTCCCGTTGAACTCGATGCCCCGCCGCATCTTCGTTCCTGCTTTTCTCCAGACCGAGCTCCCCAGGCCCATGTCGGCAACGAACAGTCGCCAGTTGTCCTCATGGGCGGCCGAAGCCGTCTCGTCGTCATCATCGGGAGGCGTGACAGCTTCGAGAAGACCCCGCTTTGGCGCTCCAATAGCTACCACATATCGTGGCTTGACGAACAGTGGCGTTCCATCAATGATGGCAATCTTGCCCGAGGTCGGATCGATGCCTGACGGGATGTCTACGGACAGCGTAAACGCCTCGTTCCGGTTCGCCCACTCCATGAGCTCGTACACGGTAGCTTGATCACCGATCCGCAGTTCCTCAAACGACATGGTGAGGCCCAGCAGGGAATCGACGATGAGTGAGATGGGTATCCGAGTCCCCGACGCAGCGTTCTTCCGTAGGTACTCGAAGAATTCTGTCTTGCTCATCACCTTCCCCCCAAAGGCTCTGTACAGGTCAATCTGCCGTCGGAGATCCTCGAGCAGATCACGTTCCCGCTCGATTCCCACGATGCAGATAACCACATCAATGTTCCTGTTGCGGAGGTGCCGAGCCGCCGCCATTGCCCGCACGCTCGACTTGTTGTTACCTGCCAGAATCACCGTCGTCGAGTTGTCCAGCGATGCCTCGCAGCCTGCCATTTCGAACCGCACTTTCACAGCGGGATCGGCAAGAGCTCGTAGGGCTACTTCAGCTATGCCTCGCCCCGAATTCTCGGCCATGAGATCCTCCGTGAACCCAACCTCGTTCGCCGCAATGTTCTCCAGGTTCAGCATCTGCAGCGAGGATATCGTTTCCAGTCGACGGTTGGAGGAGGTAATGTAAAGCCCAGGGCGATTCGATCGTTGCTGGTTGTTGTCAGCATGCAAGCCACTTCTCCTTCTATTGGCAGTCGGGCTCCGGCGCACAAGAATACTCATCTCACTTACCGCGGAATTCACCCTTGACAGTGGCTGAGCGCCAACGACTGCCTGGCTAGCCTTGCGGGACTGTGACCGCCGTGAGACGCCGCGCTTGCTCTCATTCCTACGCAGGCTGGACGCTCTAGGTTCTCGGCCAGAGTTTCTCTCGCCGCTGTTGACAGCATGCGGGTCATCCGCCTCGCTGTTCCAGAAGCCGGCGTTCTTAGCGATGGCGGTCGGAATCTCAAGCACGTTTTCCGTGTAATGCAGGTTCTTGCCTCCGTTCGTCCCTGGTTTCGGTCGGCGGTTGTGGGAGACGAGCCGGTCGCCCTCGTCGATCTGATCCTCTTTCCGCATCTGGTCGAAGATGGTCCGCTTGTCAAACTTGGCTAGGTTGTTCTCGAAATCAAATTCGCCCATTTCCTCCGTCACATCCTCCGAGGCCCAGCCATTCCCGTCCCCGTTCCCTTTCCGTCCCCGCGACAGGCGCTTCAACGATGTGAAAGGTTGAAACGCCGCCGTGCTCTGCAACATCGGTGTCTGCCTCCAACCTTTGCCTCGGCCGCTCGCCTGCGGCTTGCTCGCTGGGGAATGCTCGAGCGCTGTGTCCGAATCCTGCCCCGGTGGGAGAACCTGCTTCTTGGGCCGCCTTCTTCGTTTTCGCTGCTGCTGCTTTGCATTGTTTGTGGGTTCTTCTGAGTCCGACGGTTTTGTGATTTCCACTCCAGCTCCCGCCTCCACCAGGTGCAGGCGCTCCAACCGGATCTGCCCTGCGACCTCGGCGGCTGGAGACTGTGACCTCGGCCGCCGGTTCACGTGGATGCCTTGCAGCACACCCGGTGAGTCACTACCGTCGAGCATTTCCAGCAGAGTCGGGGATAGCTCTCCATCGCTGGGAAAGCTCGTAGCCACTGCTGGCTGTGTAGGCCGCTTGACGCTGAGAATAGCAGGGTCATCGAGATGGGGGTGGGAAGCCTGCGTTGGTGTGCTGACTACCGTTTCTGGGGCTTGCGCGGCGGCGAAGTAGGCTTGCTGAGGGTCTGCCTTGATTTCACTGAGGTCGGCAATGTTACTCGCATCGATTTTCGTCTCGGGCGACCACTCGTTCGATCCCGCCACGAACACTAGCGCAGATGTCAAGGTCAGCATACACTCTTTCTCCCCCCGTCCTTCCACAGATTCACCATCCTGCTGGAATTTGCAGCGCCAAACTAGCAGGACTGGAGTTGTTACATGTCGCGGGGGGGGCCTTACCGTTAATCAGAGTCAGGCTGCTTCCAGCCTCGACATCTCTCACGGTACCAGTTACCTGGTACCCAGCAGGCTCCCTCAGAACCACCCGCATATGCAGGCCGACGAAACGGGCTGCCATGTTGGAAGTTCCAGGGGAGTCTGACTGCTCGACTTCGACGCTGCTGCCGTCGTTGCGATTGTCGGTGTTGTAAATATTCGGGATCGTGTGACGATTTGTGGATTGGGTTGCTGCTGCGTGCTGGGCCGCCAAGAGGGATTCGTGCGGACCTGTTTGGCTGGCTTGTGTTGAGGGGCTGTCTGTCTGCGAAATCGCTGGGCTGGGCAATTCGATAGCTTGGGACGGTGCTGGTCTTGCGAGCACGTGTCCAGTCCGGCGAGGGGAAAAGTTGAGGTTGAGGTCGAGGTTGAGGGAGGATGGGGGGCTAGAATTCAATGGGTAAATTCTGTAGGGCTGCCAATTATGGTCGTGCGC